TTTTACAAATTGGACTTTAATTTAATTTTTGGTAGATAACCATTCGTCCTAAAATTCAAGTGGTTGAGGAATCGATTAAGAATTATATCAATTTTATACACTTCTTCATGTGCAAACTCTCATTTTATGCATGGAGTGCAAACTAGTTTATATATGCATGGAGAGTCAACTTTACATTGCACCCTGTAGATCAACAACTAAGTGAGAAACAAGAATTGAAATCAAGAGCTTTTATAAATAAGGTTATAATACTACATTAGGCCTAGAAGCTCAAATTGTCAAAAGAATGAACAACAATATGTCATGCAAAATTTTCATTATTTATAAGACATTCACTCTTTAACCGATTGCATTGCAATGAGTAAAAACATAGTGGAATAGTGGTGGTACCTTTCTAACTTTTCATCTCTTAGATTCAGTTAAAGGTCTTGGATATTCATGAATGTGATCAAGCAGCACTTAGACTTTAGACAAGAAAAAACATAGTGGAGAACCTTTAGATACTGAAGTGTCACAAATTCTAACTCTTCCTTTCCTGTTCCTCATTGTACCCCAGAAACCATACTTGGAGCTGCAGGTAGATATTTTGTTTTTTGCTAGGCAGGTAGATATTTTGTTCGAGTCCCACAATTCATAGTTTCTACCAAATAATGAAAAGAAACATACAAAATCCAACTCCCACTTCTTCAAACACTAAAAAAAAACGTAGTCATTACCGACGAAGATTTTCCGAGGGCCCAAAAAAATCGTCATAGAAAGCACATTTTGTGACCATAAAATATAGGTTGTCGGTAACATAGCATGACACAAATTTTTATTACCAACGCATATAATGTCCTCGGAAAAAGTCTCAAGTTTCGTCGGAAATGCACTTTTGTTTGGCGGGAAGAATTGGCTTCAGTTGTATTAACGACGAGTAAAGTTCCTATTGGAAATATAATGGTTATTTCCGAAGATTCACTCATGTTGACGAAATTGATTTAGTATTTTTGAGTGAAAAAAAAGTCCTCTCGGTAATGTTTATATATATTTTTAGGGAAAAAAAGTCCTCGGTAATGCTTTTATATTTTGAGGGTGATTAGTTGTTGTCAAAAGTAATCATATTTTTCTGATAAAAATTTTTCTTTCTTAGAATAAATTTTTTAAGGCATATGGTTTTGTTGGAATCAATTATTTACTAATGGTCACATGTATCGTTGGAATATTCTTGAAATAAGTTTGATGCTTAATTTAAATTCTACAATAAATAGATCATATAACTTAGAATACATATGGAGAAGATTGGACCATAAAATTAACAATAAAATTGGAGTTAAAATAACCGTTAAATCTTTAGTTTTCGTTTATAACTGTCGAAAGGTTTTGTATCTTTAGCTAATATCTGAATGTCTGTTTTTTGTGATTTTTTACGTATGCGATCTTGGAGCATATACGAACAAGTTTGACGGTTGGATCATTGAAATTAGTTTTGTAGAATGTGTATCCTTTCAAAATGATAGATTCAACAAACACTTGAAGTTTATTTTATACTTCTATTAAGTAGAACATAATCCACTAGTGCAAATATTTTAAATTGAAGATCGAATTCGTTCATCATATACTCTTATAAGGTTGAGGAGTGTATTTGTAAAATATCATCAAAATCGGAGTTAAAATAACCGTTAAATCATTAGTTTTCGTTTGTAATCGTCGAAAGGTTTCGTCCCATTACCTAATATCTGAATGTCAGTTTTTTGTGATTTTTTACGTATGCGATCTTGGAGCGTATACAAACAAGTTTAAAGGTTGGATCGTTGAAACTAGTTTTGTAGAATGTGTATCTCTTCAAAACGATAGATTCAACAAACACTTGTAGTTTATTTTATACTTCCATTAAGTAGAACATAATAATTTGTGGTATCCACTAGTGAAAATATTTTAAATTGAAGATCAAATTCGCTCATTGTACTCTTATAGAGTTGAGGAGTGTATCTGTAAAAAATCATTAAAATTGAAGTTAAAATAACCGTTAAATCGTTAGTTTTTGTTTATAACCGTCGAGCTTTGCCCTCCTTGAGATCTCGATATGGATAACATGCTTGTGTTGGCGGGGAGAAGTGTATGAGCTTTTTTCTTCTTCTTCAGGCTCCACATGAGGTGTGAGTTCGAGCCCCCCGAGCGTTGGTGTTTGGCCTACAACGGCTTGGTCTTCTATAACCATATCCATTTTCATGGATTTTTCATTGGGTGGGGGCCATTGTTTGGCCTTCATCAATGTGTATGATTTGTTTTTCCTTGGTTGTAGTAGGGTGAGTGTGCTTTGTAGAGAGGATTTGACACATTTGATCTATCAACTTTTTCAAAATTTCTCCAAAAGTTGTATAGCTTTCCTCCACCCTTTTAAAACACTTATTCACCTCTTCACCATACTCGATGCTTGCCACATGGAGTTTGGACACCTTCTCTAATTTGCCCACATCCTTTTTGTAGAGCTTTTCATCCGGATGATCATGAGTTGGCATCTCATATATTGGCTCTATGTACTCATTGGAAGCATTTTGATACTCAAAGCCATTTGTTGGCCTATCATAGTATTCATGAATGTGATTGTCTTCAAAAGAATAATAACCTTCATCATAGCCATAAGTTGGCCAATCTTCAAGATTATTATTTATTTGATGGCCATTAGTTGGCCGACAATCATGTTCCATAGGAATTGAGTACTCTTCAGCCATGTACCCATAAGTTGGCAACTCATAGGTTGGCTCTATGTGATAGTCATAGCTTGGGCGCTCTTCAACAATGTCATCCTCCTCATACTCCGAAAAAGCGTATTGAGAAAAATCATGAACATAAGGATTGTTCATAATCTAACTCTATATAAGGATCCCATCGAGCGTGCCAAAATATGTTCGCTCCCTAAATTCGGCATGGGCCTTGCTGGCATGCTAGGAATTTATTCAAACACGAGATTGGTGAGGTGCGGGCGTGCCACTACTAGATGTCGCTAGTAGACGGATTTTGAATGATTTAGGTTGCACCTGAGTTCGACTTCTGACCAAGAGATTGTGCCATTGAGTGAGAGTGACTCAAATCAAGGTTCTTTGTTTGCCTTAAAAATAAGGACTTTACTTATATGGAGAGGTAGAACAATATGTAAATGACAAAGGAAAATGAATGGCTAATATTGTAGATTGCTTGTAAATTAAATGACTAAAGATGAGTTGTACATGAAAACTACAAAGGAGATCGATACTGCAAGTGAGCAGCATAGCTAATAAACTAGATAAAAGAAGGCTTTTGATGAAGGTTGATCCTGAAAAGGATGAAGGCTTGGTGCTGACTACAGCTTCGTATGCAATAATCCTTATGCTTGTGATCATTTATATAGAGGTCTGGAAGAAACCCCCCTGCTAAGGACATTGCACTTGCCCGAAAGAAGCTTGGGCAGCTTGCATTTCATTGCCAACTTGCATGTAGAAATAATATTAAAAGGGGAACTTGCATTTCCACCACATGTTTTTTAGCACATGTCTCCTCCACTTGTAATAAACTAACAATTAAAAGAAGCATGTTAGCTTCTTTCATATTATCATTGTCCGAAAGCTCTCCCATCCACTTGCAATACATGCATGTATCTTGATTAAACAAAGGCTTGACAAACCTCCACCACCCAAACAAATGGGAAAAACAATATTATAGTGCCAAACCCCTCCATTTGCAGCCAAATATCTTTCCAAGTTAGTTTTCTTACACATTAATCATCCAAATGCCATATTTTACCCAAATTGTCCAAATAAGTAAAAATTGGTATATTTTGGGTATATTTTGAGTGCAAACACTTTCTTTTCAATGAAAGTGGACTTGATCAGATATATGATAAAGCAGAGCAACACCAACAGTTCTCACCAGAAGTTTATGCATTGTGCACGCACAGCCAATCGAGTCTCTTTCCCTTACCAGTCGGTCACTGTATATGTCTGAAGTTTTTGAAAGGTATCATTTTTTATGGGACAAATAAATCCCATCTGTACCTATTTTTTCAGCTAAAATCAAACGGAGAGATGGGCTACTTTTTTTTTTTTTTCATTGAACCATAATTAGTCACATTATGATTGTAGTCTTAAAGTAAGGATCCTTGCCAAATTCTCTTTGTGAGGATCTTCGGAATCCTCAAAATCACATCATTTCATCGTACATCGTGCGGTCAGAAATCATTGTAAATTTTTTTATTTAAAATTGAATATAAATAGTACCTAATGAAAATTGACCGTAAAATATACGATGAACGAATGTAATTGGAAAATCTCTGGGATCCTCTCTCATAGTCTTATCCCTTTAATTTTGATTGAAATACAACTTAAAATCACATTATTCGGTTATTTATATCTTCCCTTTTTCTTTGCGTTAGGAGTTTTGTTGGTAGGTCAACTATATGATGAATTGTAATACCTAAACATCTGTTTTTACGAGTCTTAATTTAGCTACTAATGAGTTGTGGGCTCGATTTAGACAACTAGAGTGTGCATGGGATTACCTTTTAGTTGCAATTACCTCATCTTATTAGGGTTACGGAAAAAAACACCCCAATGGATGTAAGATTGAATTCATGATCTTTAGTCCTAACATTTTCTCTCTCCTCTCCCCATACAAATTTTAGAAAAACTTGTGTAATGGGATTTGGGTCACATAACTCTCATAAAATTAAAACATAAGACTCGTGTATTGTTCTCTCAGACCTTATATTGGTCTCGTAAGTGTGATGACTCTCCTAAAACGACAATCCTACTAAAGTTTATCACGACTTTAGGAGCTCATGTTATTAGATTATTCACTTAATTATTCTTGTTCTTTTTCCAATGAAAGAGGACCGAAGCTTCCCTCGGCTTTAGGAGCTCATGTTATGTTAGATTATTAACTCAATTATTCTTGTTCCTTTTTCTGTCAAGGGAGGCCGGGCTAGTCCGAATGGACACTAACAACAACCCTCTTCTTGTAGTCAGTACAGTCAATACAAATTAATATATATTAAAACCCAAACTCCTGGTTAGTATCCGTGGACAGTGGAGTGGCGAAAACACCCTCCAAAATTTTTTCCCTCAACGTTTTCCTCCATCTTTTCAACAGTGCAAGGACGATTCTGCCCTTGGTAACCACGCGTCTGTCATCGGTGGTTCTTCTGCTCCGTTTCTTCCCTGCCTTTTGTTTGGGTTCCCTTCTCCCTCCTCGCCTCACTCTTCTCTGCACCAAGCAGCTCGATTTAGGGCTTCACCATTTCTCTTCGAATCAAGGTCTCTATTTCTCTCCCTATTTTCCCAATCTAGGTTTCCCTCTCTCTGTGTAAAAACCCTAGATTTCGCCACTGCCGGAGAGTCGAAGCTCGGCCCTTCGAGCCTCAATCCGCCTTGCCGATTACCTACTCTCGGCGCCTCCACCTAAACCCCTCTCGTAAATTTCCCAACTTTTCCCCCAATTCTTTGTTCTCTCTATTTCTGCGCTTTCGAAAGGTTTTAGATTTTCGCCTTCTTAAGCTTATGTTTCTGAAAAGACCTTGATTTTGTGTTTAATTTGGGTTGTTGCGTCGTGAATTTTGAATTTTATGTTTAATTTGGGTTTTTACATTGTGAATTTTGAATCTTTAGCCTGATTATTCTGTAATTAATTTTAATTTTGTGGGTTTGAGTAAATTCCGCACCTTTTCTTTTCGTTCTTTAATTTTTGAGTTCGATCTGTTAAATATGTGTGATTAGTGGGTTTTTCCGATCTGTTAAAGATTGAGACTTTTGTTCTACCAAATTTGAGTTGCAGCAGAAGGAAGCTAGGAGGTGCAGCAACTGGAAGTCGGATTTCACTCCCGTGGCTGCAATTAGATCAAGTTTTGGCTGATTTGATCTGAGCACGCACAGATTGTTTTTGACTCCTACCCTCCCAGAAACTTGAGGTACAAAAATTTCAAATTTTTTTGTGTTTTTTTTTATATTTATTTTCAGTGTTAATTTCTGATTAAATTATTATTTTTGATAAACCCATTTAGAATCTGATCTGGGTTTTGCCTGGATTCCATAGTAAAAACCTTGAAACTTGAAGGCATAAAAATGTCGTATTCAGTGCACAAGGCTTCCGCTTTACGCAGGGTCTGGGAGAGGTGAATGTCGGCTAGCCTTACCCCCATTTATGGAGAGACTGCTCCCAAGTCTCGAACCCGAGACCTACCGCTTATGGGCGAAGGCACTTGCCATCGCTAAAAATGTAAGTGATTTATTTATTTTCAGTGTTACTCTCTGATTAATATTATTCTGGGTTTTGCAGAAATGTTATTCTTGCTGCAGACCTGCCATGTAAGTGATTTAATTTTTGCTTTTCGAATTTCTACTTTTCATGCATAATTATGAATATGTAGATGATTTGTGGGTAATTTTTTTTTTACTTAATCTCCAATTCAAAGGGGGGTGATTGCAGATTGATTGATCTGTACAAGCTTGCAATTAAGGCCCTTGGCCTAGTCTCACCTCCTCCCCATGAACAATAAGGGATGAAGTTTCAGGGTTCCATGCCCCGTGAATGCAATATTGAAGAAACCTTGCAGTGCATTTTGCAATCATTTGAACATAATAAGACATTAATTAATATCGTGTTCACATAAACCCACGGGGAATGTCATTGTTAACTGTTAACAATTTAAAGTGCTTGTACAAATTTTTAGTGATAAACAAAGCTTTATCTCGTACTAATTAGAAGAACATGCAAACAACGTAACAGATCGATCTAACTGCACTGTTTGTCAACGATGAACATGCATGTCCCTTCTTTCAAGCAACTAAAGCTTTTTACGAAATCTAGAATTCTGTGGTTGTCACGTGCAACACCAGAAGAGGGAGCATGGGCTATATGCAGGACGTGGAGTGTTTTGGAATGCATTTTACATTATACAAGACAATCATTTCTAGCATATTTAAATTATGGTGCAGCTGGAACGTCATCTTCACTCTTCATAAGAAGCAAAGAAATCAAATGCACTTTTGCGAGGACCCGGATGACAGTTGCCATTAGAGCTGCTCCTGAAACTCCGCCGAGAAGCGACCCTTTGCTTAAATAAAAAATAACACCAGTGCTTAAAAACGTAACAACGTAAAGAAAACAAACAACAAGCATGTATTTTTCGAGCATCTCTCTGTAATTTTGCAGAAGAAATTAAGAGCTTAAAGGCAAATGAGCCGCCGCCGAAGAGGCCGTAGACTGCAGAGATAGCCGGAGCCATCTCCGCCAGCTAATTAAGAAGTGCACAAGAATCGACGACTGCATTTTAGGTTCGGATTTGAAGCTTGTGTTGCTGACTGCCAATTTGCCACTTCCCGCAGCGTAATCGTAGCGAAAGGGATCCGGGTTGGAAAATGCGGGAGAGTTGAATGTGGGAATTCTGCGACGGTGTTCGTACAAACAATTCCAAGGTAGCTGGGAGGACAGGGAGACTGGGGAACGGGGGGCAAAGAAGGGGGGGCGCCAATTTCACTTGGGGTTTGACAGAAAGCCCAAAATTTGGTGCGAAGAGGGAATTCCCGGTTGATAGTTTGATTTACAAGAATGACTTACACAGATCGTATAACATTATTAGATTAAGAAATGAGAGACTTACATAGATCGTGTAATATTATTAGATCAAGAAGTTACGTGGCATAAACTCGTTCCATGTAAGTTATTTTCTTGATTAAATTATTGGTAGTCTCATTAACATAATAAAACGAATATAACGGTGTTGGGATTTATATCATTTTCTGCAACGAAAATGATAAAAAGTGTTGTCGAAAACTTTCAAGTGAGTATAATTTGTTTTATTACAATTAGTACTCTAAGATGTAGAAAGATCTGAATCCGAGATACAATATGTTCAAATAAAGGATTCTATCCAAAATCATTTATATGTTAAAGTGTATAGTATGTCAGAATGTGAAATAATAATGTAAAACTTTAACCAAAGTATAAAATTCAAAGACGACTTTATTGATAAGATTGAAACTTAAGTCTCTGTTTTTCACTTTATATATCACCAATATATTTTTTTCCATCATTGATTTTGTTAGTGTTGACCCTAAAAGTTACAAAGTTTACTTGTTGCGCATGCCAAGTAATGAGTTATTTACGTTCTTCTTGTGAATGCGGGTGTGCAACTCCCAACAGAGCTTGGTTAGGTGAGTAGAATAGATGTGGTGGTGATGTTGAATGTGTTGCTGACTTTTGCACTTGAGCGACTACGGCTAAGGAAGGAACACCTCTCAACCTAGGTTCTAGGAACTTGAAGACAAGGTTGCTTAGTTCATTGCAAAGTTTAGTATCTCCTGCACCAAGTTTGGCTGCCTCAATTATATTTGTGAGAATATAGGTACGTCGAATCAATATCAGGCTATAGGGGCAAAGATCCTCAAAGGAGATGAACGTTTTAATGATGAACGTGGTTCAGCCATCTGAATGCCAATCTGCAAAATGCATATGAGAGTAACTAATCACAGACCACTTCACTTCTTTGGGAAGCTAATGAAGTGACCTCTTTCGACGAAGGAATCGAAGACTCTTTGTTAGCTGAGACTTGGATAGATAATCAACCGAACTAGAAGTAGTGTTGTTCCACCAAAATGAAGGTACTCTCGGAGCAATTAGTTCTATGGCTCCAGTTCCAACAAATTGAATATGATGTTGGTTACTAACCCAATATGTTCAAACAAATTGAATATGTGATGACGGAAGTGTTAGGATAATTAGTACTTTTCTCAAGGTTGTGTGAAGGTTTCACATATAGCAAGGGTTTTTGCATAGATTGTTTGGGTTGTTTATTGAGTTGAAAGGGCTTTTCATGTTGCAAAACCTCTTCTATTTATAAGGATGGCCTTCATGATAAATAAGTCTGGCGAATGAAAGTCTTGATGGAACTATGTCACTCAGCACTTACCTGAATATTCTTTCTTTATCCCATTTAATTAATCCATTGCCGAGCGAAACTCATCTTCATCTAGTCTTATTTTATTCCAACTAGGATTCTAAACTTGACCCCATTATGTATTTACTTCATTCTTATCTGATCAAGAATAAATTATGATCCTTTGGATAATTCGTATTTAATCACGACTTTATTCTGACCATTAACAATTGCAATTTGCCCAGGACTCAACCGAGCCATATCTAATTTGAATCCTCACACACTCGTATTTACATAAGGACTTGATCGAATCAACCCTTTATTGGGCTAAAAGCCCAGTGGCCTAAAGGATCTTTATTGGGCTGAGGATTGTAATTTTCCAGTTTGGATTAACCCATTCTCAACCCAAACTGTTATTTTAGGCTTAAACAATTTTTTGCAATTTTTTTGTTTTCATGCATCTCAATCCCTTTTATGTTATAGAAAAAAAAATTGGTCACTCAATATTCTATGAGTTGAGAGTTATCATGGCCTAAAATTCGAAATCGATAACGTGGTCTTAAATTCAAATTTTATGACACAATGATTTTTAATTTAATGGAAAATGAAAATGCAAATTATAAAGTGATTTTCGAGAATATAAACACGTGAACTTTAAAGATAATGAGATAGTGTATAATCTTGTGGAGGCTGGATGTTGCTCACACTGGACGTCACATGAATGTTGCTCATATAATTTTACAATTATTTTTTTGGCACACAAAGCTGACGCTTTCGAATAGAAGTAAATCCAACAATTGTCTGTTAGACTAACATGTATTAAAGAGTATGTTGCTACGTGTGCGTTAAAAGCATCCCCAAAAGACTTTACAAATGTTGTTCTACAAATACAAGTTTGGTTACCAAAGAGTGCGTTTGGTACGCAGACGGGACGGGACGGGATGGAACGAAGGTGTAATTTTTGAAAAAGATATGGGGTATATTTGTCTTAAAATGGTAAAACATTGTGTTCCACAGACGTGGAACAAACCCGTTCCAGGGGGAGGTGGAACGCAAAAACACCCAAAATCTGTCCCGTGGAACAGCCCGTTCCACCCATTTTTGACGCACCAAACGCGGGACGGAACGCCTCATCCCGTTCCGTCCCGTCCCGTCCCACGTACCATACGCACCTTAAGTGACACTTTGTTCTACAAATCAGTAGCATTTGTATTCTGATTTCAAACAAAAGAGTATACAACTTCAACTAGAATATGATTTTGACTCCAGCCCCTTCCAACCCTTGTTCATTTCAATTCTCCTAATTTAATTCCTTTCATTCCAATTACGAATCATTGAACAAGTTATCGAGGATTTGTAGAGTTTTGATGAAGATGCTTTGAATAGGGTTACTCGTTATTTTGTGTGTAATTTCCTCTTTGTTGCTAAAACTTTTTGACACAGTACAAATTTACATCAAAATCATTATTAAACCAGCATTCTTTTACATCTCTTCTATACAATCAATTCACCAAGGTCGTCCAAATCAACGGCTGAGATCAATCAAGCAATCAACTAGCAAGCATACGATTTCTTTGTCATGTCATCAGACGCTGACTGTAGTAACGAAACAGACGAAACTTTGTCCCGAAAGGTCTCCAATACTTGAGTAGCCGAAGGCCTCAGTGTCGGTGACTGACGCAAGCACATTGCTGAAATACCAAGCATGGTCTTGGCCTCTTCGACGTCAAACCCCGCCGCGCCCAACCGCGGGTCCACCAACTCGGCCACCTCCGCTGCGTCACAACCGCCGTACCTCAACCTGGGCCCCACCAACGTCGTCAAGAACTGCCCTTTTTCGGAGCAAAATGCCTCCATTCCGGTCACGAGCTCCAAGATCAAAACGCCGAAGCTGTATACGTCGTTTTTCTTCGAAGCGATTCCTGTTCGGAGATAGTGCGGGTCGGTGTAACCCGGCGAGCCCATCATCGTCAAGACGTGATTTCTCATCGACGACGGCGGTTGGACCGTCGAGGAAAACCCCATCTTCGCCGACCCGAAATCGCAGAGCTTGCAGTTGAGATTTTCGTCGAGCAAGATATTTGAGGCTTTGATGTCCATGTGAACGATTTGGAGGGCGCATTTCTCGTGGAGGTATTCTAATGCTTGTGCGATTTGGAAGGCGATTGCCATTCGGTTCTTCCACGGCATCGCTGGGGTGGCGTCTCCGCCGTGGAGCTTCTCTTGGAGATTTCCGTAGGCGACGTACTCGAAAACCAGAGCACCCTCCTCTGTTTCACATAACAAAATACAAAACATTATTATTTGAATAAATTGGACTGAACCCACAAAGAAAATAAGAATAAATCACAAATTAATATCAAGAAAATTGTACTCTACTACGACCCAACTACATCTGACACAAAAAAGTTTAAGTGTTGCTGAGTGGCAGAAACACTAGATGCTTCTTTAACAAGCAAGTTTTCTCAAGAAGTAATCACTAAGATTTTTAATAAAAATTACACATTTTAGCAAAGTGACTCTGAGATTGCTTCTCTAGAAAACATTCTCACTTCTAAGCAATTTTGCTGGGAGTAATTTATTATAAACACGTTGAAATTTTATTAAAAACCAACTGCTTAATGAAAATACAATTCATGGTTTATGAGGAGCATCGGAGCATCTGATACGTGCTTCTTCATAAAATGTTTTTACAAGTCAGAAACTTTATTTTGTTTATTTTGTTTTTTTTTAGTGGAATACGGTCGGAAACAAGTTTGACTATCAAGAACCATGTTAAGCACAATCCTAAACATGTCCTTAATTTATGGACTGACCTTGGTTGTC